GGCACAGCCTTGGAGCCTCTAGCTGTGAGTGCGAGGAATTCGGGTGCTCGGCCCGGGAGGTGACGATACCACTGGATCCAATCGTTAGTGCCGATTTTGGGATGTGAGCAGGTGATGTTGATGCCGGTGCCCTCGGTGGTCTCCAGGAATGGCTCCTGCTGCACCTGGGCTCGGGCTACAGCCACTGCCAGAAAGAAAAGAACTATGACATTTATTTTGTAGAGAGCGCCATTCAGGGGGAGATGGTAGAGGATGAAAGATTAGATGAAATTCTGATACATTTTGAGACTAGAGTATCGGCACACTATTTTTCTGAGAGTGTTTGGTTGATGATAGAAACCTATGACGGCTGTTTTCAAGGTAAATCAGAAGGAATAATGAAAAACAGAGTGACAGGGAGGGAGGGAGGGAGGGCATCATCTGTTCCCTCCCATCCTCCCTTTGCTGTCATGTGGGGACTCCCGAAATGTCCTTTAGGGCACTGGAAAGAAATCCCCACACATGGGTACAGGGAGCTGGGCATAAAGCCTCAGCCTTTGTCTGTGTCCACGAAACCAATGTGATGCAGGTCATGGTAGAGCAGCTGTGCACAGGCCTGGAGAGTCCTGTGTCTGTGTCTCTGTGTCCGTGTATCATTGTGTCTGTTTGTCTGTGTGTGTGTTCATGCAAGAGTAGTTTAACAGGATTTGGTGCCAGGGTTCACTTGTTCATTTCTTGAAGAGATTACAGATGAAATTGTCAGGGAGATCCATTGAGTCCCAAGGAACTGAAGGGACTGCCTTGCACTCTGAACACCTGCCCAGTGGGAAGCTTAGGTGTGACTGCATGCAGATACAGTCTCAGACTCTGTGAGCAGTTTCTTTTGAAAGAGCATTCTAAGCATAATGGATTCGATATATGATCTAGGTGAAGTTTCAGTGCAGCATGTTATTCTGGGCTCCACATATGAGTGACCTTGAGCTGTCACTTGGCCTTTTCAAAAGGCAAAACCAGCCCAGCAGGCATGGGAAGAGAAGGACAAAGGCAAGAGGAGAAGAGGCCTGATATGGGCTGGGTGGGAATGTGTGTCCTCACTGATGCATTTCTAAGAGAACCTTTGCCCCACCTTTGCAGACAGGCTAGAGGTTGCCCCGTTCCCCAGAAGGTACAGAGCCCTGTCTGAAGGAGCAAAAGGCGGTTTGGGAAAGACCCTGCTGCCCGCCCTGCCTCACATAGACCATCACAGTGTGCACATGTAGCTGTGGCCGGGTGGGGCTGTTTGATGGCTTGAGCAGCTAAGCCGGACGCAGCCCGGGCTGAGGAGAGGGGCTGAGCACGGTCGGTGGCTGAAAGCCGGAGCTGGTGCCGGTGTGGGCGCTGTTGTCGGCGCCAGTACCGGTATCGCTACCGGTGCCTGTGTCCGTGGCGGCGCCGGTTCTGGGGCCGATGTCCATTGTCGGTGCCGGTGTCGGTCCCGGTGCCGCAGCCCGGGCCGAGCGGGAGCGGCAGCGCCCCCTGCTGGCCCCGCCCGGCCCCGCCCGCGGCGGTTCGTGCCCGGCCGCAGCCCCGGCTCCTCTGCCCGTGGCCCCAGCGCGCAGTAATACACGGCCGCGTCCCCGCGCCGGGGCCGCCCGAGCCACAGCGCGCTCCGACGCCGATCTGCCGACACCCACACACGGCTCGCACTGTCCGGCAGCTCTTTGGAATCTTTCATTATGACTGCGAGGATTTCGGGTTCTCGGCCAGGGAGCTGGCGGTACCACTGGATCCAATCGCTGGTCTGGATTTTGGAGTGTGAGCAGGTGATGTTGATGCCGGTGCCCTCGGTGGTCTCCAGGAATGGTTCCTGCTGAACCTGGGCTCTGACCATAGCCACTGCCACGGAGAACAGAACAATCACTTTTCCGACCCAACCCTTTTAAAAAATCCCTTTCAGTCGGAGATGGGTAAGGATTGGAGAGTAGCACAAACTGGGATGTGTTCTGATAATAAACTATAGAGAGATTACTTCTCCAAGAGGGTTTCGCTGGGGTCAAGAATCAAGGACGGATGTTTTGAAAGACAACTGAAATTTTTAAGTGGAGAAAGGAATGAGGAAAATAGATTTGTCCGGAAGGATGGATGGATGGATGGATGGATGGATGGATGGATGGATGGGAAAATGGCAGTAACAGAGTCAAACTCCCTGCGAAGGATTTCACTGAGGAAAAACAAACCCTATGAGGGCAGAGGAGGAGATAAAGAGCAAACAAAAATTGAGAAGGAGAAGGAGGGTAAGAGATGTATCTTAAGGCGAGCGGGGTCTCACACAGGCACACAAGCTCCCCTACTGCTGCCTTCCCCAGTCTCACCGATGATCAGCGCGGCCAGCGCCGGCAGCGCCGCTCCAGGGAGGTGCAGCAGAATGGTTCATCCTGCTTCCCCATCCCTGTCACCTCTGAGGGCTCCTCAATCTCTAAGCACACACAATGATGATCCTGGAAAACGAGAGCCCTGGTTGTGTCCATCCCAGTGAACTCTGGAAGCCGTGGCAGAGCTGTGTGAGGCTGGAGGCAGAATGGGACACCCTGTTAATGTCAGTGAAGGGAGAACTTTGAGGTGCCTGGGGAGGGCTTGAGAGGAGCTGGGAATGTTGGTTGAAATGGGAAGAATGTGGGACTGTAGAGACAGCTGAGATCTCCTGAGGTGACTGCAAAAGGATGAGAAGAGAGTGGCAGAAGGAGATGGAATAATGGATGAGAAAAGACAGTACAGGGCCGGATGTTTCTCTCTGTTCCCTTTCCATGTTCAAATTAAATAGCTCCTTCAGGAAACACTTGCAAAACCAGAAACACAAGCAGATTTTTCCTTAGTCTTCTCCCTTCATTCACTGGCATTTCCCGCATGATGCTGATTAGGCTTTTGAGGACTTTCTGAGGGAAAGGAAGAAGAAGAAGAAAAGAAGAAGAAGAACAGGGGTGCCTTGGAGAAGGGGCAAGCCTTACCGAGGAGCTGGCCCAGGCAGACGGTGAGGATGAGATTTGCGAGGTGCATGGCGAGAGCGAGCTGCGTGTTTGCTGAGTGGGGCAGAGGCAGAAAGCGCGTCCCAGCGCCGAGAGAACAGAGCTGCCGGAAACGACTCTGGGCGGCAGCAAAGGAAGCAGTGGCGGGAGCAGGCAGAGCAGTGACCTGTCCCTGCAGTGCCTGCACTGCTCCTTGTGCGTTTCTGGCTCCTGCAGCAGCAGTCCCCGAGGCTCCATCAGCCATTAGCACTGTGAGCATCCCGTGCCCCTGGGGCCTCAGTGATGGGAAGGGGCTGATCCCGCTCAGCTCGCAGTGGAGTCCTCCCCTCCGCAGCTGCAATGGCCAGCGCTGCTGCACACCCAGGGTGGGCATCTGGGACCTTAATGGTTTCTTCCCCACTGAGGTTTCTCACCTTCCTGAGGTGTCCTCAGCTCTTAGGGCTCTGCATCATCCCAAGGAGAGCTGGGCTGCCTCCCTGCTCCTGCCCCTTCTGCATGAAGGAACAGGGAACAGCCTGTCATGGCTGAACTGTGTGTGCTGGCACCAGCAACTCTCCAGCTGCCTGAGGAGCCCAGCGTGGTGCAGGAGAAAGGCTCATCCTGCTTCCCCATCCCTGTCAGCACTGACGGCTCCTCAATCTCTAAGCACTCACAATGATGATGCTGGAAAGGGGGAGCCCTGGTTGTGTCCATCCCAGTGAAGTCTGGAAGCCGTGGCAGAGCTGTGTGAGGCTGGAGGCAGAATGGGACACCCTGTTAATGTCAGTGAAGGGAGAACTTTGAGGTGCCTGGGGAGGGCTTGAGAGGAGCTGGGAATGTTGGTTGAAATGGGAAGAATGTGGGACTGTAGGGACAGCTGAGATCTCCTGAGGTGACTGCAAAAGGATGAGAAGAGAGAGGCAGAGGGAGATGGACTGAAGGCAAGAGAAAAGACAGAATAGATGCTCAGGTTTCTCGGTCTTCCCTTTCCCTTTACAAATCGAATACCTCCTTCAGGAATCACTTGCAAAATCACAAAGAGAAAGAGATTTTTCTTTTTCTTTTCCTTTTATTCACTGGCATTTCCCCCATGGTGCTGATAGGGCTTTTGAGGATTTCCTGGGGGGAAGGAAGAAGAAGAAAAGGAGAAGAATAACACGGGTGCCTTGGAGAAGGGGAAAGACTTACCGAGGAGCTGGCCAAGGAAGGCGGTAAGGATGAGATTTGCGAGGTGCATGGCGAGAGCGAGCTGCGTGTTTGCTGAGTGGGGCAGAGGCAGAAAGCGCGTCCCAGCGCCGAGAGAACAGAGCTGCCGGAAACGACTCTGGGCGGCAGCAAAGGAAGCAGCGGCGGGAGCAGGCAGAGCAGTGACCTGTCCCTGCAGTGCCTGCACTGCTCCTTGTGCGTTTCTGGCTCCTGCAGCAGCAGTCCCCGAGGCTCCATCAGCCATTAGCACTGTGAGCATCCCGTGCCCCTGGGGCCTCAGTGATGGGAAGGGGCTGATCCCGCTCAGCTCGCAGTGGAGTCCTCCCCTCCGCAGCTGCAATGGCCAGCGCTGCTGCACACCCAGGGTGGGCATCTGGGACCTTAATGGTTTCTTCCCCACTGAGGTTTCTCACCTTCCTGAGGTGTCCTCAGCTCTTAGGGGTCACTGGTTATCTCCAAAGATGGATGGGCTTGGAGAGCTGCAAGGCTGGAGACTGCACAGCCTCACAAACATCCCTTGGTGGGTGCTCCCTAATTTCCACAAGACCTTCTCAAAACTCTATTAAACTCATGTTCCTCTCGTCACTTCTTGTCGCTGACACAGTTCAGCCTGAGCCACTTCGCAGCAGTTTACTAATGGCCCATCCATTAGAAGCAGGAGAGCTCTAAGTTCCCTTCTTCTCTTCCTTATCACCTACTGCCCGATTGGTGTCATTCTATGCTTTGTTCATCACTTTCCCTTTTCCTTGTTCTTCCCTTGGGAAAGGAAAACGGACGTGATGTGAGCCTTAGAGAAGCAGACACTCTCACCTTTCACCTGCCCTGACAGTGGCATCTGCTGAAGTTCCACAAGAAAAGGAGTTCATAAAGACGCTGAAAAGCTCCTGTCCCTAAAGGAAAAGGGGGCTCTGGAGCAAGAATCCGGGGAGAAACCTCATGTGGAGCCCTGTCTTTCAAGTGTCTCCCTCTGACACTTGCAGCGTTGCTAAACCCTTAGCCGGCACAGCCTTGGAACTTGTATAAGCAACTGCGAGGAATTCGGGCCTTTGTCCCGGCAGCTGACGGTAGAAATGGATGTAATCGTTGCTCCTTTTAGTGGGATGTGAGCAGGTGATGTTGATGCCGATGCCCTCGGTGGTCTCCAGGAATGGCTCCTGCTGCACCTGGGCTATGCTTGAAGCCACTGCCAGGGAAAGAAAACGGATAAACTTTAAATTCTGCACTGCCCCACTGCACGTAATTATTCCCGCCGAAACAGTCAGGAATGTATAGAGATTATGAGAAAAAACAATACTGAGTTGATTTCAGGATAAGCAGGAATGGAAGTGTCCTTTACTACTTTGTGGAGACATGAATGTGTGAACGACAGGAAGAAAAGTGCAGTCACTTTAGAATGGAAGGATGTAGGAGAAAGCACAAAGAGAAAAGAAGAAAAGTACCAGGGGCTAAGGACTGACTTTGTAAGCCATTAAGAAGTAGAGGAATGGAATACTTGTGCAGGGTTGGACACAAAATAGAATGAGAATATTTCTGCGGGAGTATGGGATAGAGAAGAGAGAGGGATGAATGGGAGAAGAACTCTCGAGAAAAGGTCTGGGAAGAAGCCAGGCAGGACGGCAGCCTCCGGGGACCTGTGGGATCACCCCAGCCCAGGCGCCTTCGGCAGCACCGCGCACCGATGATCAGCGCGGCCAGCGCCGGCAGCGCCGCGCCCCGAGCCCGCCGCATGCCGCCGCTCCGCCGGCCGAGCCTCGCTGTGCCGCTGAGCCCCGGCTCTGCTGCGGCCGTGCCGCCTCCTCTCCGCCGCCGCCAGCTCCGCCCCGGGGCTGAGCCCTGCGCCGCTGCCGCTCGGGCTCTCGCCGAGTCCTGGCGGGGAACGGAGCGGAGGCGAGCGCGGGGGCTGCGGGGCGGCGCTCGGCTCTCTGCACGTCGGGAGCGCCGGGGCCGGCCTGGGGGGCAGGGCATCGGGCTGGCATCGTGGAGCTCACCATTGACAGTGCCTGGGATTCCTCCGCTCCCATCATCTGTTCCCTCCCATCCTCTCTTTGCTGTCATGTGGGGACTCCCGAATTGTCCTTCAGGGCACTGGAAAGGACGGATACAGGAGCTGGGCATAAAGCCTCAGCCTTTCTCTGTGTCCATGAAACCAATGTGATGCAGGTCAGGGTAGAGCTGCTGTGCACTGGCCTGGAAAGACCTGTGTCTGTGTGTCCATATGTCTGTGTGTCTGTGTGTCTCTGTGTCTGTGTGTCTATGTGTCCATGTATGTGTGTGAGCACTCCCAATATTTCAAACAGAATTAAGCTAAAAATCCAAATTTGGGTGAAACCATCCTTGTTGGGGCTGGCAATTGGCAGAAGCAGAGCATGAAGTTTAGAGCAGTGGGAGAAGGAGGTTTCAGGGAGAAGGGACTGCATTTCAGTGCCTCTTCCCTGGACAAATCTCCTACACGCTGCTACATCATTTTACAGCTGTTCCCAGGATCCTTCTGAGCCTGGGCAAATGCTGCTCTGTGATGCTCAGGGCAGAGCAGTGGAGAGCGTCTCCAGGGAGATCAACGCATTTAACTTACTGAGTGACACAATAGGACACACAGACACACAGACACACAGACACACAGACACACAGACACACACACACACACACACACACACACACACACACGGGATCTGCATATCATGGGGGATTCATGCAGAATTTTGTGCTCCCACATGGATTCCTGTGGACCCTGCCTGAACACAAATGCACAAAACCCAGGAACACAGACAAGATCATAATCAGCCATGGACGCTGCTGAGGAAACCAGGGAAACCCTGCAGCAGGGCTGGAGCCTTGTGAGGAAGGACAAGGAGTCAGGCAAGGCCCTGTTAAGGTTTGTGCACTGACAGGCTGAACAGAGCGAAGCACAAAGGCTTTCCTGAAGGCAATCTCAACAGGACAGGGTCAGAACCAGCAGCCCAATGGTGACACACAGGCAGGCAAAACCCTGTGACCATCCATGTGAGCTGAGGAGGGAAGAAGGGATGGTGTCTATGTAAGTGTATGGGAACAGATCCATGTTGGGATGTGCTTTATGTATGCACACCCCTGAATGGGAATATTCACATAGATATGCGTGAACAGGCTTGAGGTCAGGAGCAGGAATAGTAGTGTGTGTTTGCACATGAGTGGGGACATGGCAGAAGGAGAAGTGTCTGTGCCTGGGACTCCTTTGGAAATATGTGTGCACACACCTCTTCATAAATGCCGAGCTATGAGTTACTGTGTGGGTGTGTACAAGCTCCAGAGAGTGTTTGTGATACCATGTGTGTGGAGAGGGAGTTCTTTAAATACTTCCCCTTCTCAGGGTGCTGCTTTAACGCTTGCACAGTCATGACCACGAGTTCGGGCCCTTTGCCCGGCAGCTGACGGTACCAGTGAATGAAATCGCCCCTCTGGATATTGGGGTGAGAGCACTTGATGCTGATGTTGCTGCCCTCGACGGTCTCCAGGAATGGCTCCTGCTCCAATTGGGCTCTGACCGCAGACACTGCCAGGGAGAAAAAACAAACAAACGACAACTCCTGCTTTCTATCCAGTTCTGCTTGCCAATCCCCAGAACAAAACCCACAGAAGCAGTCAGGAACACAGGGAGATGAGGAGGAAAACATTTCCCAGAGGATGCCAAGAAGATGCGCAGCAATGGAAGTGTTAATGAATCGTTTGTGGAGAAATGAATGAGTGAATGACAGAACGATCAGTGCAGTTGCAGGAGACTGGGACGATGTGGGAGGAAGCAGAAAAAGGCAATAAGAAAATAAGCAAGGTCTATGGTCCAACTTTGTGAGTTCTAAAGAAGGAATGATTGTCCCGGTTTATCATAGAATACAATCCGGAGATTTATGTGGGAGTATGAGATGGAGAAGAAGGAAGGATTAACAAGAGAACAGTTCTGGAGAAAAGTCCTGGCAAGAAGCCAGGCAGGACGGCAGCATCCGGGCATCTGCAGGATCACCCCAACTCAGAACCGGCCTGTACGGCACCCCCACGTACCGATCATCAGCGTGGCCAGCGCCGCGCCCCGAGCCCGCCGCATGCCGCCGCTCCGCCGGCCGAGCCTCGCTGTGCCGCTGAGCTCCCCCATGGTGCTGAGAAGGCTTTTGAGGACTTTCTGAGGGAAAGGAGGAGTTCTTTAAATACTTCCCCTTCTCAGGGTGCTGCTTTATTCCCAGAAAGGTGTCGGGGAGACTCAGGGATGTGATGCAAGTGAGGAGAAGCTCACCAGTTAAACGGAGGGCAGGCAGGCACGGAGTGTGTCGGCCTTTCTGTGTCATTTGTCACTAGCTCCCCTTTCCTCACCGAGCAACGAGCCAACATCTCCTGAG